TGCAGGTAAATGGATGGAACTAGAGAATATCATACTAAGTGAAATAAGCCAATCTCAAAAAACCAAAAGCCAAATGTTTTCTCTGATAAGTGGACACTGATCCATAGAGAGATGGGGGGATAGGGAAGAATGAAGGAACTTTGGTTTGTGCAGAGGGGTGGGGCTGTGGGGATTGGAAGGATGGTATAAAGAGACATTATTACCCTATACACATGTATGATTACACTACTGGTGTGACTCTGCACCATGTACAGCCAGCGGAATGAGAAGTTGTGCTCCATGTGTGTACAATGTGTCAAAATGCATCCTACCGTCATGTATAAGTAATTAGAACAAGTTAAAAAAAAAAAAGAACCTGTCTGCATCCACTTCCCAACCCCATCCCAAGGCAGTTATCAGACAAGCCAACAAAAAAGCCTAGTATGTTACTCTGCTTTGTTTCTCTGCCCATACTTCTCCTGGCAGGGCCTCTTCCTGCTCCAGATTAGCCAGCCTGTTTCTCAGGCTCTCTGGACAGAGGCCTTTGTGCTGAAATAAAATATCCACAGGATCTGATTATGCACATCTCATTGAGTCTTTCTGAAGGTCTTAATAGTGTCACCACCCTATGGATGTGCAGAGAAGGGAGTATGATGATAAGAATGTTCATTCATATACCACTTTCATTCTCTGAACAACAGCCCCATCACAATTCTGCACTAGGCTACTAAAATACAAAAGAGAATAAAGTCCTCACTCTCCAAAGAATACACATATCTGTTGGAAGACAGATATGTAAAAAGGCAATGATTGTACAATGCCCTGGCATTAGCAGAATATATGATTCCACAGCCCTCAAAGGCAAGATTGAAGGGAATTTAATGAAGAGACTGTTTCGAAGGAAGTGCCCTCAGGGCTAACAACAGTAGGAAGTTGGTACCACGACTAAGCTTGAAAGAGCAGTTAGTGGAGCCCAGCAAGAACTGGAGCTATGACAGATGGCTGCCAGACACACGCTGTGGGTTTAGATGAAGGAAGCCAGCAACTGTCCTGCAAGGAAGAAGCAGATGGAATAAATGTCCCAATATCTCTTCCACCCTCTGGTCTCCTGTTAACACCCCCATTGGTCAAACCCAACCAGAAACCAAAGGTCAAAGGAGCTCTTTGGTATAGTCTACAGAGGTAAACTACCTGGGACACAGAGTTGGATAGAAAATAGCAGAAGTTTTAGAGGAGCAAAAGAAAACAGGCTGCCCAGCCAGGAAGAGCATCCAAGAGTACCAGACTGAGGGAAGGAGAGGGTAAGTCTCTCAGTGGGGCTGGTGGCATGGACGAAGTGTCTTCCAGGCAGTGGACTGCTGGGGTACAAAGACACTGGCATATGAGAGCCATGATATATTTGAGAAGCTACAGGAAATCTTCTGTGGTTATAATTAGAGGACAGAGCAAGGTCAGAGATTAGATCTGAGTCTTGGAGAAGAGAAGAGGGCTCTTTCATCATGAGGGTCTTGTGTGTGATGTTGAGAGACTGAAAATCAAGAGGGAGGCAGAAGGTGACACGAGGAAGTTGACACAGTACAAAGGTGACTCAACCAGCATTGCAGGAAGTGAATTAGAGACAAATAAGGATACTTGTAACCATCCTTGGAAGTGACGACAGGGTCATAAAGGAAACAGTAGTCTTGCAAATAGAGAAAAGAATTTGGGTTTGAAATATTAGGGAGTTGAAAGAAGTTAGTAATCCTTTAGTGTTGAAGGTGAAGGAAAAGGGGTGTTGTGTTGAACTTCCCTTTCACCAAAAATGGAGCTATCCAGCTGGTGTCTCGGCCTCAGCACTATCGACATTTGAATCTAGATGGTTCGTTGTTATAGAGGGCCATCCTATACATTGTAGGATGTTTAACATCCGTTGTTTCTACCCACTCAATGTCAGGAGCGCCCCCACCCAACTCATGACAACCAAAAATGTCCCGAGACATTGCCAGGTGACAACAAGCGGCAAAATGATCTAAGTTGATAGTTTTTGATTTGGGGGAAAAATGGTTCAGTTCTGGGCAGACTGAGTTTGAGGTACCTCTGAGACATTTGAGGGGAAGGATATCAGGTAAGACTTAAGCTTGTGAATTTAAAACCCAACATCATAGTGTGGGCTGGTGACTCAACAGAGGAATTATGAGCATATAACATTTCTGAAATGACATCCACCGCACCATAACTTCTCAAACTCCTCTCTTCGGTGAAATGCGACCAGCTATTTCTTTCTTGTTGATGTTTATGTCAAGCTATATAGAAGGAAAAAAAAACCCAGCAGAATGGGAGCAGGAATCCAGTATCACTGAATTGAGCTCTTCTAAGCATGTGGTTAAAGGATGGAGATCTGAGATCAGTGGATATCTGAGACCCATCCTGGCTCCTAACCCTCCTGTCTTTGTCTCTGGCCAAACCTTTCTGTCACTCTTGCATCTCCTCTTGGACATATTTTGTTGCAGTTTGAATGATCTGACATTCTTAGAGCATTTATAACCTTCTATAATGTGGTATAAATCTTTTTCATAACATAATGCTGCATGATGAAGAAGCTAGATCTTCAATGTTGAGAAGTTAGGAGAACTCATCACTTATTAATTCCATAAATCAAAATAGGACAAGGGCCCCCAAGAAGAGCATAAAAGTGTTCACTGGCAAATATCCCCTCAAAGGGGGCAAGAGGTACCTGTATAGGCTCATTTCTCCCAACTTGATGTTTCCTCATTATATAAGTTGGGACAGGAATAGAAATAGCATCTCATCAGGAAGACTGTGGAGATACAAGAAGAGGGGCTCCTAGCATCTACAATAATACGTATAATAGAGGCAAGCTCAGACTGCAAACTTTTTTGAGTGCCTTGCACATGCCAACTGCTTTTATGCACATTATTGATGAAGTAAAAATTTTAATTCAAGACAACAAAAACAGTATTTGTAAACATAATTATGCTCTAATGCAACATATTTAATGACTGACAAGCTTCCTAAAATCATCCTTCAAGGAAGAATCAGCCAGTTGTTCATCAGATTTGAGCATCTGTATCATCCCAAACCTATGTCCTCTACTGTGCCTCTTGAAATAAGTTGTTATGGTTTAGATATGAGGTGTCCCCCAATAGCTCATGTGTGAAACAATGCAAGAAAGTTAGAGAAATGATCAGGTTATGAGAATATTGACCTAATCAGTATTGTAATCCACTGGAATGGATTGACTGGGTGGTAACTAGGTAGGATGTAGCTGGGTGAGGTGGGGCACTGGAGGCAGCCTTTGGGGGAGGCATTTTGTCCCTGGTGAGCGGAACTCTGCTTCCTGGTGCCATATTCTGAGCTGCTTCCCTCCACCATACCCTTCCACCATGATTTTCCCTTGCACCCTGGCCCAGAGCAATGGAGTTGACCGTCTATGGATTGAGACCTCTGAAACCATGAGCCTCCAATTAACTTTTCCTCCTCTAAAATTGTCCTTGTCAAGTCTTTTGGTCACAGTAATGGAAAGGCTGGCTGAAACTTATATGAATTAGACCATGCTGAAGGCAAACAGCTTCTTCTATATTATATGCATGATCAATGACAAATTCTACATGATGTAAGTCTGGCTATAAAAATTCAGTGAAGTTTATCTGTTCAAAAGAGTTTCAAGTTGTATTTGGGGTTTCCTTTCAAATAAATTTCAGCAGAGCAATGGTTGCCAGTTTATGTCGTGGAACGTACATGTAGCATTGGTGATAGACAACAGTAAATAAAAGATACAGAATAAGCATGAAAATACAGAATTTAATCCTATAATAAATATTTCCTACAAACAAACTAGATTTTTTTTAAGTTACTGGAAGCACTAAGCCCTTATAAATATCAAGAAGAGCTGGGTGCAGTGGCACACACCTATGATGACAGTCTCATCAACTTTGCAAAATCCTGTCTCAAGATAAAAATAAAAAGGGCTTGGGATGAGGCTCAGTAGTGGAGTACTCCTGGGCCCAATTCCCCAGTTTTATACATACTCAAAAATAGTTGTGAAGTAGGCCTGATTCCTTTTTTCTTTATCCTTCTTTCTTTCCTTCACCACCCTCTTGCTTAGGTGCTCCATCGTCAGCGCTGGTCGCCATAAGAAAACACCACAGACTGAATGGCTTAAACTAAAGAAATTTATTTTTTTCACAGCTCTGGAGGCTGAAAGGCCAAAATCAAAATGTTGGCAGGGTTGGTTTCTCCTGAGGCTTCTCTCCTTGGATGGCAGATAGTGCATTCTGGCTGTGTCCTTGGGTGACATTTCCCTATGTGTGAGTACATCCTTAAATATATCTTCCTCTTCTTTTACCAGTCATATGGGATGAAGACCCCATCCTTGTGATCTTATTTAAACTTAAACACCAAGACCCCCCAAAAACTGTCACTTTGGGGGTTAGGGATCCAACATGAACACAACAGGCACCTATGTTCTCTTTCTTTACTCTCCCTACCTGCCACTCTGTCCTTGTTCTCAGACAGGAATATCATGAACCCAGTTCCATTGTTTGTAAACACGTAAGCATTTGTTGGAAGTTGAAGTTGGGCACCAAGCCTCAGGCAACATGGAACTTCAGTCCCCACTGACAGGCAAAGTCATAGAGCTCAGGACAGAACCAGAGTCAGCATCCCCAGGGTAGATCAGAAAGGAAGCAGTCGGCCATCATGATGAGAAATGATTAAATCCAGTGTTAGAAAAGTAAAATTTTTTTCCTTCTCTGTCATCCATTTAACCCTATCTTTATTCAACAATATCAAAGGCTAGTTGAACAGAAATGCCATTTTCTTGTTCCAAGATCTCCTTTGCGTTTCTCACTGATGGTTTATTTGGATAGGTGTTGGAGTGGAGTCTGGGCCTCCTTCCTAGGTAGGCACCTCCAAAACCCTAGAAGCCATTCCCAGTGGTCCGGCTTTGGGTAGAGATCTGGTATGGAGTGGAGAGTTTCCAGGGGGCCACAGCATGGCTCCAGTCAACTCAACATTCTCCATCAGAGGCTGGTGTCCACCAGCGGGCCAGGTTGTTGGACCACCTGCATTCTTCTGTTTATGGCATTAAGAACTTTCTTCCTAGGACCCAGCTGCATTTGTATGTTCTGAAGGTCCTCATCGGAGCAAAGCATCAGAGCTTCTAGATCAATCTGCTCTCTCGTGAAAATGGGAAGGAACTCTCCCAGGTGGTGGGACTGCAAGAACACTTCGAGGGGAGTCGCATCCACAACTTCTTCCTCCCACTCCACTTCATCCTCATCCCAAGGCAGCTCAGGTGACCCAAGGCCATTTTCACCCGCTTCTCCCTCTTCACCCGCCTCAGCTTCATCAGCCTCTGCTGCTCTTTGGAGCAAGTCACTGGGCATTTTAAATTCCGACTCCCTCTTGCTGTTTGAGATGTCTTCAGGGCTCCATGCTCTGTTCTTTTGAAAGACAATATTCCCTAGACCTGGACGGTTGAGAATGGATTCATGTTGCTCATCATCGTCCTCCTCTGCTGGGAACTGGAGCTTCTCTTTGAAGCCCCCGGAAAATGAATCTTCGTCCTCTTCTCTGAACACGTCCATCACATTCCTCTGCCCACTTCTACCCTCCTTCCCTATGGGCTCTGCTGTGTCTTTGTTCTTCTTGAACTTCATCTTGAAGGTATCTTTAATGCCCTTAGACAAGGACCCAAATGTACTGGAAGCAGAAGCACTTGAGAAGGATGACCTGGAGAAGGTGCCCTTGGAAGAAGAAAGAGTCCCTGATTCCTCCTTGTTGTAGGTGCGGGCCATCTTATTTTGGTGTTTCTCCTGGAGCCTTTCACACTCTTTGATCTGCCTCCTGGCATTTTTCTGAGCCTGCTCCTTCAGCCTGGAGACCTTCTTGGGGTTCATGGTGTTCTGGGCAGTGGCAGCCTTATCCAGGAGAGCAACACATTCGTTCTGATCCCTGCTGGCAGCAGCATCCAATGGAGACTGTAAGTCATTATCCAGGGCAAAGATGTTGGCACCAAAGTTGATCAGGAATGAGACACAGTGGGCATAGCCATTGGACGCTGCGTAATGTAGAGGAGTATTTCCCCAGATGTCACATTTATCGGGGTCCCCTCTAAAAGAGAAAATATGAAAGTTGCAAGTGAAACATTTTTTTTTCTGGGAACATAAATTCCAAAAACAGAAATAAAAACAAAAATAACGAACAAAATGCAGGCTAGTGCAAGCCTGTTTATCCTGCCTTGACGTTGACATACTATAGCTGCTCTAAGTCTAGATATGTCATCTTGCAGTTAGACACCATATGGCCAGAAACAAACAAACAAAAAAAGCCATTCTCTGCCCTATCTCGTGTTTAGAAGAAAATCTTTCCAAGAAACTCCCTAACAAGTCAACTTTCATATCTCATTGGCCAGAATTGGTTCCCATGCCTAGAAAGGGTAGTACCATGTTTAACTTAGATCAATTAGAATTTTTCCCTGAAGCTAGGAATAGGATTATCCAAAAGCATACTGGTAAATGTTTAACCACTGGCTCATTTGAGGGGAAAATCATCAAAGCCCTGATGTATAGCATGTGCCAATTTCTGTTGTGTAAGAATATTCACAATGATAAATTTAAACCTCCCAATATAAAATCCCTAGACAGAGTTTGGAAGAGATGTGCAGTAGCCTACCATTATTAATTATTTCTTCCATATAAAATCAATGGATCTGTATAATCTGTTTAAAAATATTTTTTTAAATCATTGATGGACCTGTATTTTATTTATTTATGTCTAATGCAGAGAATTAAACCTAGTGCCTCCCATGTGCGAGGCAGGTGCTCTACCACTGAGCTACAACCCCAGCCCTGGACCTGTATAATTTTAAGAGCACTGATAATAGTAAAATGTGGTAAAATATATTATCTTTATTTTAACATGATTTATTAAATTGTAGGCTTATATCATTTTATTTCAATAATTGCTGTGTTTAACCAACTCTGAAACTTCCTGAAAATTCAACAGCAACCTCTCAGGAGCTGGCAAGAGATGATTCCAGCACAATAATGCCGTGTTCCCTCAAGTCACAAGTGGAAACGAACAACCAAACCAAACTGGGTCATCATCAACAAGAAGAGAGGAGTAGATGTTGGGCAGGTAGTCAGCAGTGTCTGCTATGACCAGTATTCATGTGAAATGTAGAACATCTCCATCTATTCTTGTTTCCTTCCAGTATTGTATGAGTGATAGTTCTACAAGAGGTCAAGGTGGGTTAGGGGTGTTATAATGGCACTGAGGCCACTGATCTACCGTCTGGCACAGAAACAATGACATTGGTAGATTCTCACTGAAGACTGGTGAAATGACTGACCACCTACTGGAATCCTGGCCCAGGCTCCTAGTTCCCCTGTCATAGGAGGCCTAGAGATATAAACATAGACCCTGTGGAAGGTCAGGAGAACGAGTCTAAAAGTTCTCCTTATATTTCTCATGAGAAATGGCAGAAATAGAAGAAAAGATCACACCGAATTAATTAATAATATTCGGTAATCCTTCTCCTTTGAAAAGTTTCTTGTGGTAGTCTGGGGACCAAACTAAGGACACAAACAAGCAACAGCAGCAAGGGCTTTATCTGTGATTTTGTTTGAAAAGCAGAATTTTGGACCCCAGCCCACACTTACTGAATGAGAATCTAGAGTAGAGTTTAACATTACCCTCTAGTAATTCTCAGGCTCACTATGGACTGGGAAGAGCTGCACTAGTGAATGCAGCCGAGTCAGTGTCCTGTTACTCCTTCCTGGGAGCCCTGCCTGCCCTATGCTCTTCAGTTTCTAAGCACTTTGTTTCTCATTGCCCAACACCACCATTGTCACAATCTCCCTCTTAGAGAAGGAGGAAGAGAATCTTACTGCAGAAGTAAAAGGAGACTCAGATGAATGAATAAAGAAAGTGTTATATACACGTGCAGTGGAATACTCCTCAACCATAAAGAAGAATGACATTACGGCATTTGCTGGTAAATGCATGGAAGTAGAGAACATCACACTAAGTGAAATAAATCAGACTCAGAAAGTCAAGGCTTGAAGGTTTTTTTCTCATATGCAGAAGCTAGACCAAAATAAGGAGAAAAAGAAAAGGCCAGGGGAGGGGTGTCCCATAAAAACAGAAGAGAGATCAGTGGAGTAGAGGAAGGAGACTGAGTGGGAGGGACGAAGGCAGGGAAAGGGAGGAAGGGTAGAATGAAATTGACCAAACCATTCCATGCACATGCATGAATATAGCACCTTGAATTTCACCTTTATGTATATCTATAATGTATTAATTTAAAAAATCTATAAATAAATAGAAGGAAAATCGGTAGACTAGAGAAAAAGGAATAGGGGCAGGGAGAAGAAGAGGGAAAGGGGAAGTACTGGGGACTGAATTGGAGCAAATTATATTCCGTGCTTGACTGATTACGTCAAAATGAACCCCACAATCATCTATAACTGTAATGCAGTAAATTTAAAAAAAAATTTTTTTTAAAGACTCAGAGTGTAATGGGTTTGCCCAAGGCTAACAGGCAGCACAGGTTGGGCCAGGCCTGTCTCTAAGTCTAACCATCTCTTACTCAATACAGTCTTAAAGTAACATTTCTCAGCTTTTCCACTTCACCAGCCACAAATCCTCTAGCTTGACTTTTCTAGGACTCAGTTCCATTATTTGTAAATTGAGACTAACAACACTACTGACTCATGGAGTGAATTAAAGTTAACATATATAAAGCATGGGAAAGTGCTTTATAAACATTACTTATTCTGATTCCCCTCTAAATTCATAATGCTGAATTTTTATGTATTTATTTTTTTCCTCCCACCCACCTACTAAGTTTCTGGCAGCACAATGGCTTTTATAGATTTTAGTGTTTATAGTCTTACTTGTCAAATATGTATGCTCTGTCTCCAGAGTTAGATAATTTTCCAGACAGAGCAAATCCTATTTTCTCTCTTTTTTTGGTCATGTACAACTCCTAGCAGAAATCTCAAACCCAACACAAAGAAGCCAAGCAGGTATTGTAAGAGCCCAAAAGAGGCCAGGTTCTTTCAAGGAAGACACAGTTCAATGCATGTCCTTCTAGAAAGGGCATGACTGCAGCTGATACTGCCTTAAATAAAACACAGAGACAATATTGTCAGACCCTCCATTTTTCTTTCAATGCAGGAAGAAATCCAGAATTTCATGGAAGTTTTAGGTGTTGGCTCAAATTTAAAAGAAAAACACAGTGAAGTCCAAACAAAACACATTTGTGGACTCTATCCAGCCCACAAACTGGCAACCTTCTTCTGCAGAGAGAACAGCCTGAGGAAATACACAGATTCGAGACATTGCATGGCACACCTGGGGAACCCAGCATATACAGTGGTGTGACCAGAGTGCACCAAGCTGGGGATAAGGGAAAAGTGAGGGGCGGAGAAGAAAAAGACTATGAAATTAAATCTAAAAAAAGCAAATATTATTTAACTGTTTTGTTGGGCAGCCTCTTTCAAGAAGTTTCTGGACAGTCAGTCTGATTTAATTGTTTTGGATCAAAGGAGACCCCTTTCAACCTTGGCACAGTTGTGCATCTTAGGGGAACACAGTGCCTCACCCCCAAACACGTGGTTTTACTTTTTATTTATTTTAGCCAACCACCATATTCAAGAGACTTCTTAAGTACCCTAGATATCAAAAGAGGAATTGTAAAACATTCAAGACATTATATAGACATAAACAGAAACATACTGATTAAATTTGCCTGGAATTATCCTTGGATCGGATAAGCTAAAAAGGAAATTAGGATGAGGAGTGAGTTGTGGTGGTGGTAGGGTGACCGGGTATTAAGAAGTCTGGGTTAAATCAATATGCTTAGGCCACAGCATTTCCCATCTCAGTATACCTTAAATGAGGAGGAAGAACTTGAGGAAGAGCCAAGATGACTATGAAAGTGGGTCTTCCTTAGAGAAAATTTCAAATGCAAAATTCCAAATTTACAGATGAAATTGTAAGAGGATTCATGAGTATTCCTGGTGTATTTAAGCTATTTCCACTTGCAAAAGTTCTATTTAAAGACAACTTTCCAAACTGATGTATAACTTAAATAATAATATTTTGTATGAATAAGCGTTATGAGGTCTTTCTAAAGTCAATCGTTATCTTCTTTCACATTTCTTGATGAAACTATTGTATATAACTGCCCAGGTATGCACAAACTTGTTCTAGGAGCCAAGATTTATGGTTCAGATATGAGGTATCCCCGCCCAGAGCTACTTGTCAATGCAGGGATAGTCAGAGGTGAAATGATTGAATTATGAGAGCAGCAACCTAATTGGTCCATCCCAATTTGAGTGAACTGAATGGTAACTATAGGCTCCAGACTTTGCTAGAGCAGGTGGGTCATGGGGGGCACACTCTGGAAAGGTTCATCTTCCTTGTGTCCCCTTCCCATCTCATTCTCTCTGCTTCCTGACTGCCATATCTTCCTTTGCCTGATGTTCCGCCATGATGTTTTGCCTCAACCCAGGCCCAGAGTAATGGGGTTGGCCAGCCATGGACTGAACCTCTGAAACCATAAGCCAAACCATACTTCTCCTCCTCTAAGCTGTTCTCATTAGGTACTTTGGTCACACAACAAAGAATTGACTAACAAATTCTAACACTGATGCTGTGTGGTTCCCTTGGGCTAACTCTAGTCCACTATTGATTTTTTTTTTTCCTACAGTCTTTTTGAAAAGAGAAACTAACTGAAGAGATTTTAAATATTGTGCTCTTGATTTTTGGTAGACCAGTTGCATTTTGACAAAAATTTTTAAAGCTGGCTTGGTATTATTGTCATTAAATAGGCAATTTCCTTAAATTAAATTACTCTAAAACATCTATTCCCTTACAATTTCTCTTTTTGTTGTTGATTTGATTTTTTGTGGGTACAATTGTTCTCAAAAACAATCATTCTTTCAAAAATGTTTTTCTATGTAAAAAGGAATTATTTGGACTCGCAAATAATCAAAGAAATGCAAATTAAAACAATACACTACTTTTTTGCCTATCAGATAGGCAATGATTAAAAAGAATATTAATACTTGGTTCTAGTAGGAGTGAGGAAAGGAACTATTGGA